AATTCATCTGTTGAGATTGCTTAACTTTATTATTACATCCATTAGATACCATCCATGAATTATATAAAAGTCTGACAGCACAAAACAGAGTTCACTCTATAGTCCAGTATGTTTTTGAAACATTTTATATCTTGATTTTATTTTTTGGCACATATTTCCATCATTGCCCGTCTCACAGGAGGTGGTGTCCTCTGGCTGCCTTTAATCGGCTGTGCAAACACATCAGGCTGATGTAGTGAGTGGAAATTAAAGAAGTGTTTCCACGAGCTCAACGAGCAACAAAGAGTAGAAACTTGTAGAAATGCTGCTGATCTGCTCGTTATTGTAGCGCTGTTGTGTTTTTAGTGACGGCTGTGAGTGCGAAGCTTTGTTCAGTCAGTGTGTTGGTAACATCTGCATCCTCAGATTAGTGTTACTCTTCTGTGTAAAAAGTAATTAATATCCAAAAACAATCATTTTCCTGTTATTTCAGGACGACGCTGTTGTGTTTGTTTGTTTGCTCTGGCAGATGGAACGACATGGAGGAGGTGGAGCAAAGGTGGTGACGGTGGGTTGCAAAGTGGCTTGCAGTTGCCTGCAGGCAGGCTAAAGCAGCAGTAACTCGATTTTTGAACAGACTTTTTGTTTTTGAAAGAAAACGAGTAATATAAGAAAAAATAAATAAAAATTGCTTTAATGATCCCGTTGGAGTGTTGGTGCGAGCAGCTTCAAACAGTCTAAAAGTCGGCAGAGAGTTTTTCTCCCCTCTGGCATTTCTGTAGACCAAACGGTTGATCCACAGAAAATCAGAACGTACGATCGAATTCATCCAAAACAAGAGATGACAAAGAAACACTGCAAATTTGAGAAGATGGCGACTTGGAGGATGTTTGAAAGAAAATAATGTTTTCAAGGATCTTCTGGGAGTGAACGGCAATACCTCTGGTCTCGGTTTTAGGCCTCCGGGTTCAAACACGCTGCTTGCATACATGCTGCAGAGATGAAGCGGTTTCTTCTGTTAACTTCAGTCAAATTTTTTAGCTAAGTTTTAATAAACAAGCAAGAAATAATCTAATGCAAAGCCTATAAAAGCGTCATTTTTCAAGCCCAAACTACTAAAAGCTAAAAGCCGCGGCCGTAGACCTGGAGGCCTCACTGTGGGGCTTAAATGCTGCGTGATAAAGTGCTCGGATCTGGGAAACGCTGGCTTTAAAACCCTGATGGCCCCATTTGTCAGCACAAACATCTACGCTCTACCCAAAAGGGTTTTTGTGGATATTTTAACCAAATTATGTCAAATACTAACACAAGTGTCCTTTTAAATTCTTGCTTAAACACCAGCACTAATATTCCCACCTTTAGAATATATTTAGAAGTATTAAACACTTAAGTGGAATCATTATCTTAACGTTTAAAAAAAAACAAACACATACTCTTTCATTAACTGGTTCGAAAAGCTTCACTTTCACCATCTGCTCGTCCTTAAAGGGCCAGTTCAGCCCTGACTGTGGTGTGAGCGCTCGAACTTCACAGATAATCGCTGCCTTCTCTTGAACATGAATCGAATGAATTAGCCAGAAAACAGCAGGCGGTTGCTTCTTCCACCAAACGAGGGAGTTCAGGATCTTGTGCACAAGTGACGGGAACACGGAGCGTGAGGTGGACGCTTTGAATTTGGCGTCAGCTCTCAGTCCCAGGAGCTCTGGGCGTCTGGTCAGGACTATCGTCTATAAGTCTTTTTCCAAAAATCATGACTTAATCACAAAAATCCACAAAACTTGTGCGTGGGACCAGTGGACGAGTTTGAACGTAACAAAAGTCGAGCACAGCCAATCAGACGAGACTCAGCGTTGATGTTAAAGGTCAGCACGGATGCC